TGTTTAATTTCGATTTGGGACTAGTTTGGTTGTCTAAACCTGAGTAATTTGAAATCTGCCAAAATCTGTAAAATTCGACACTATTACTGGGCGAAGGAAGAAGAAAGGGATATGGTGGGGATTTTTTAAAAAATCAAGGGTAAAATAGTCATTTTTCATCCTAGGGACATAAATATAATTTTCGAAAATGTTCAAGGGCAAAATAGTCATTTTACATCCTAGGGACATAAATGGAATTTTTGAAATTATTCAAGGGTAAAATAGTCATTTTCGGGATATGGAAGGAATTCTTGAAAATGTCCAAGGGCAAAATAGTCATTTTCGGGACATGGAAGGAATTTTCAAAAATTACCAAGGGTAAAATAGTCATTTAGGGACATACATGAAATTTTAAGAAAAGATTAAGGGCAAAATAGTAATTTAATGATTTCAAAAATGATTTCAAAAATAGTTTTGGAAATAGTTTCGGAAATGATTTCGGAAACGATTTCGGAAATGATTTTAGGAGAATATATATATATATATATATATATATATATATATATATATATATATATATATATATATATATATAGAGAGAGAGAATGAAAGTAGTGTATTGTGACGTGTGTGGGTCGGACTGAGCCCGAGGACTGATGCCCAAAATTAGTCCCGAAACGTTATATATTGGCTAGACCGAGCCGGAGGGTTGGTGTCGGAATCGATCAAATCCTATTTTTATTGACCCGAATGAGCCGTGAGGACAGGTGGTCCAGAATCCGGCAAATGTGAATAATTTTTGTTATGTTTGAATGGTACCCGGGGTGGTACCAAGTACATTAGTGTAATAACTATGTCGGAGGATTCTGAATGAGGTCCCAGACTTTACTGATTGGTCGGGTCAGGTAGACTACGAGATCAGTTGGTGAGAAGTCGATGGGGGATGACTAGTGGCGCGCTCGGAGGGGTACTCTAGTATGAGTGATGAAGGGCGCCAGTAATCCTACTCTATGTGGAGGGTGGTAGAATGGTACTGCGGGTACCGATCACATTGTGCCCACAGATGATATCCTCTGAATTCGGGCATAGTTAGGGTATACTTCCGGAAGGTGTCTTAGTGTGTTGATAATTTCGTAATTGATCATAATATATAATTATTACTTCTATATCTGTTTTATTATATCGAATGATTTAATACTTATCCCTATTTTTCCATGTGGATGGGACTGCAATGATCACTTTTATGTGGGAGCAGATCAGGAGTTAAGAGATGGAGATGTGACTACTGGACAGTAGGGATAGTTCAGTGAGATAGCTTCGAGGGAGCTACTTTTACATGTATAATATATAAATAAATTATGTTACTATATTTTGAGGTTCCGTTAGTCAATCGGAATTTCAATCTATGTTACAATTACAGTAATATAATGTAAAATAAATGTCGTTATTTACTTGTTTACTACTTTGAGAAGATGTAAAACTTTGTTACTACTTGTTTACTAATCTAGGGTCGTTATATAGTATGTGTTTAATAACTCAAAATTGATGTAAAACTTTGTTAATGAATTATCATGTATAATGAACTAAATTTCTTTGATAGAATGAGCAAATCTAATTTTACTTCGGAGTTATGGATTTTAATCTTGTTACATTAAAAGAAAAATGTAGTGTTATTATTGACTTTATTAGTAATAAATAATAAGTTTCTTATTGTAATACCTCAAAATTTATCATATAACTTTTTAAAAATTTAATATATTAAATTATAATATTAATTAATTTTAATATATTTATAATAAAATAAACATTTATTAAAAGAAAAATTATTATTATTGTTAAATTATTATTATTATTTATTTTATAAAATAAAAGAAAAATATTAATTATTAATTTTTCTTTTAGAAGATATTAATTATTATTTTTTTAAAATATAATAATTATCAATAATATATATATATATATATATATATATATAATTCTAAAAAAATAAGGTTAACTTATATGAAGATGAGGGGAAGATTGAGAAAAGAAGAGAAAGAGAGACAAAGGTGGAGGAAGAGAAATATTAGGAACAAATTTTTGTGTATCATCGTTAAAAAATGAGGTAGGGGGACATTTTTTATTGTTTTATCTATTTTATTTTTAATTATGGTTGTAGAGTGAGATGTCTCTAATTTTCTTTTATTTATTTTGTCATATTTTATTTATCTCTAGTTGCGTATTGATTCTCTTCTATATTTATTTATTTTATCTCCAATTACGCACTATTTACTGTTTCATATTTATTTTATTTATCTCTCTCAAGTTATGCACTGATCCTATTTTATATTTATTTATTTTATCTCCAGTTACACATTGATCTTGTTTTATATTTAATTATTTATTTTTAGTTATGCATTGGTCCTATATTTTTATCTCTAGTTACACATTAATCATTATTTATTAATTTATATTTATATTATTTAATTATTTTTAAATAACAATATTTATTTATGAAGACTTGATGATATTGTAAATCAAAATTGGACCTTAGATATTCAAATGTGTAAACATTACTTAGAAAGTAATTAAAATTAAGTTTATTTATCTTGACTAGTCAATATAAATTTAATATAAATATTTATAATTTAAAATAAATGGAGTATGATGATGAAGTTGAAAAGTAGATTTTATATATCATTATGAGATTTTATTATTTTAAATAATAGTTGTTCTGACTTCCCTATTAGTATCTCTTGTGCATTTTATAACTAAAATATCAACATAAATAGAGAGACATCAAAACGAAAGACAAGTATAATTGATAAATCAACCGCTTTTAGAAGAAAAATGTTTATTAATTTTCATAGTTGTTTTTAAAAAAAGAATGTAAACTTGTAAAGTTCATATATTTATACATATAAATGTATAAACATTTATCTCATGTTTTGTTTTTGTCAAAATTTAATGGAAAATAAGCATATATTAAAACATAGTTAAATTAATAACTGAATAAAAAGGGACCACATACTTGTAAAGCTTGAAAAATATCTAATATATTAAATTTAATGTTTATGAGAATGATGGTTAGTGATAATATTAAAACCTCTATTCTTAACAAAGAAATTGTTAAAGAGTTTATGAGGAGATTAGTGGATAAGTACTCTCAAACAATAAAATCTCTTGGTGAGACATTAACGAGTACATTAACCACCATAAAATTTGATAGATCGCAAATTACTTATGAACATGTCATTGAAATGATAAATATTGTAGTAAAACTTAAGATATTGGGAATGACCATTGCAAATGAGCTATAATACTATAAAAGATAAATGAAATATACATGAATTACACAATATGTTGGTTCATGAGTCAAGTGGAAAAATATAAATTTTACGTCTCAGACACATGATTTGTTAAGGAAAATAAATAAATAAATAATAAAGGACTCAATGGTAAATGAATAAAATAAAATTTTTCTTATGATAACAACTATTTGATGATAACATTTTCAAAAAAGGATTCACATCCACTTACATCAAATAAGACCCCTTTCTTTATCTAAACATACACTTTTTATATTTTCATCCATTAAAAGAGAGAATGTAAAATGAGAAGTTAAGAAAAGAAAAATTTATTCTCGTACCATTTTATTTAATCAATTCACAAAATGACCACTCAAGAGCACTAAGAAGCATTTATACTATAGAAAAATGTCCACATCTTTTTTATTTGAGTTTTCTATTTTATGTTATTGAAAAAAAAAAACCAGTATAATTTTTTAAGATTCTTAGCTGTTGAGAGATTTCACATTGACTAGAGATACGATAACATTATAATATATAAATGATTCAAATCCTTATCTTACAAAGCTGGATTTATAGGATTGAGTTATGTATCTTATAATTTCTAAGTTGATATCATAACCAACTCATTCTTTATTAATGGTTGTGACTAAACCACCTATTATAAGACAAATACTCAATCGTTCATCCTTGATATAAGGGGTGTGATGAAAAAATTCTCCTCAATGTGAAGATTGTGTTGAAAAATCTTATAATGGCTAGAGATATGATAATATAATGTATATAAGTAAGTACAACTCTCACCTAACTAAACTAATATTTTATAAATTAGATTAAGTATCTCACAATTTTTAAGATAATATCAGAGTCTACTCTAATTATCTTAGAACATTATTTATTAATGATTGTGAATAAAATCATCCGTTATTGACTTTAATCATTTATTTTTCACATAAAAAAAATGTGAAGAAAAAATAATTTTTAATGTGATTTTTTAGGGTTGAAATATGTATATTATTATTTTTAAAATATTGAAACTATTTTTAAATATAGTAACAAACAAGTGTTTAATCTTAAATTCAATTACGCTTCGGCTTTGGATAAGAAAAAATGGTGGCTCTTGGATCACTTATGTATGAAGGTGGTCCAGGTTAGCATTGGTACGTAAAAGTTCAGTAACTTTCTTTACAAATTAAGTTCATCCTTGACTTGTGACTCAAACCGTTGACCCCATGTAAATTAAGTACATCCCAAGTGGTTTGCATCGAAATTACAGGTGTCCCTGGCTTGTGATTCAAACCATTGACCCCATCTAATTTCCCTGCCGATACACTCATACTCATCTCCTTGATCCTTGTGCAGTCAACTTTGATTTTCATTTTACTATTACCATGGATTTCTTTTCAAGTTCTTTGCATTTCTATTTTCCCATATGATAAGGGAGTGTAAATTGGATGAAGTCAAAAAGACATTCATTACCATGTTATAATGCCAATTCAATTCTACACTCTTAACCCATGTGATCTAAGCTTACGGAAAACATTAATACCTTTGTTTATTAATTAATGTAAGTTATATAAACACTTAAACAAATTGAATTTAAATAATGTGGGATTTTTATCTTTTAGAATACCACTTAAAATACAGCACACATTACATACGATTACAATGGAAAATAAAATTTATTCATCACTAGATTCACCAAACGTTGCTGAAGGAGCCAGGAGTGAAAACTCAAGCCACTCTGAAATGGGAACAGCTGGCTTTGTGGAGTAAAAGGGAGGAGCTAAAACCAAGTTTTGAAGAAGCTAGATCAAACTCCAAAAGATTGTCCTCCATCTGATACCCACCAATAACAATCGAAGTTGCTACGGGACTTTCTGGCTCCAAACCTCCATCCACAAATCCAAGGCATTGCACTTTTTTACTAACATTCACCATCGAATTGGCCCCATAGATTCTCCATTGAACCCCCCCTTTGAGGACCAGATCAATCGTTGGCACATTCGGTCCAGTCACGGTCTTTCCAATGGTTTTCGAATCGAAGCACGCCTCAAATGGCTCCACCGAAGACACTCTCTTTATTTTCCTAAGCGCTGCTTTCTTCACAAAAGCATTCACAAGAGGCCGGTGGATTGAAGTGTGCAATACGGTGAAAGGAATAACGGTGCTAAGTTTTGTGCCCCCTTGTCCCTGTTTGTCAATAGACAGCAGAGAGGTGTTGAAGTTGACAATTGTGCCGTCAACTTTGATTGACTTAACGTCAATAAAGTACTCGGAGGAAGGACCGTCGTCAAAGATTGGGCCCGTGCTACGGGGGTTGGTAACAATCGGAGTGTAAACAAGAAGGTTGGAAGCATCGTGAGGAGGCAAATAGTAAGGGCCACCACCAACAAAGAGATCCCCAAGTTTGTTAAATTTCGAAGTTGAAGGTAAACAAAGAGCAAACTTACGTTCGAGGTTGTATTTGGTTGCGAGTTGCGCTGGTAATGAAATAGCAGTGTTTGCAAGGCCCAACACTCCTTTCTTGCCCCTGGCCAGGCCCAGGAGAAAGCCCTCAACCCCAAACTTATCTGGGTACACGCAGGAAGAAATGAAGCGTGGGACGTGCAGAGTGGAGGGTGCTCTTGCACGGGTTGTTGAGTGGACAGAGGAGAGGATGTCTTCCCCCACATCGCCGCTGACGAAGAACTGGCCGAAGGGATTGAACGGTTGGACCCCGCAGGTGTTGTTGGTGCATCCTGTTTTGAGAGGGTGGTTGGTGCATGTGATGCAATCGGTGCCTTTGGCTTGTTTGCATTTGTTAGTTCCACATCGGACAGGCTGGTAGGTGGAGGAGTTGTAGTCGTTGCCACACTCGAACCACAGGAAACGTTCTCTTATGTCAATGACTACATCTAGCGTGGATGCAGGGGTGCCCATGTCGATGGAAGTTGAGTACTGAAGGGTTTTTGGGTCTTTCTCAACGGGGAGGATAAAGGCTTTACTGGGGGGATTCAGTGCAAATGATGAACACAACAATGAAAGGAGAGGCATCGAGAAGATGAAGAAATTGATTATACCACATGAAGTAGCCATTGTGAAAGATCTCTGTGTTAGTGATTTGGGATTGGGTCTCCTTGTTATATAGTAGATTCAATTCAAGTGATTTAAGATCTAGTCTTCATTATTAAACAATTTTCTGCACATGACGGTATGCAGACTTTATAATATTGCGTAATCTCTCACAATCTGATTAGACATCTATTTTTCATGAGATATACAGAATAGTGTTATTTAAGAAAGATTCCCCCTTCCTTTCTCTATCTCCTTGTTTAAAATCTTTCTATTTAATTAAATAAAACTTAAGGAATTAGATATATTAAAAAACAAATTACTTTGAGTCAGTTTCTCCTCCTAGATAACGGTGTATTGTCAATATTCTTACAACAAAAAGATATGCTGTAGCTTACAACACAAACTTCAGTATATTTTTATATTTATTTGGTTAAAAGATGACAACTAGGTTCTCTTTCCAGAGTTGACATTGACTTTTTAAATTTGACTAAAGTTACTTTGAATGAGAATCTAAATAAAATTCATTAAATTAATTTTAACTTTTAATTTAATCAATTTTAATTTGAACCAAATCAATTAAATTTTACGAGGATCGGTGATATAATTATATAAATCTTGTTATCATTTAGTAAGTATAATCGATTATAACATGAAAATGTTATTTATCTCCAAAATTTTATTGTGTTTGTTTCTTCGTTAATTTCCTCCTCATTTTAATTATTGGCGCATGTCCGAAGTTTCTAATGTAATTAAGATCTATTTAGAAAAATTAAATATTCAATTCAATGTAAAATATGAAAGCCAATATTATTGGGTTATAATAATATGTTAAATAATTAACAACTAGCCATTAGTGTGTAACCATGTAATGCGTCTTATAGATGTCAATTCCATGCTATAGTAGCCAAAATATATTGTCTTAATGCCATTTGTCACTTTTTTTATGATCTTTTTTAAATACACATTTTTTAGTATTTTACATTTGAGATGATTTTTTTATTTTAAATTTGAAATTGATATTTTATTTCTTGGTGAAAATCTAAACTTTTTATAACATAAATAAATATATATATATATATATATATATTAAAATTATATAATATATAATGACAAATTTTGATGATTAATTTTGATAAAATAAATAATATATATTATTAATAAATAATAAATAAATATAAAAATAAAAGAAAAATAAAAAGATAAAAAGTTAAATTTGTGAATAAAAAATAAATATATTTAATATTCATTAAATATGAGAAATCAAAATCATAAATATTAATATAAAGTAAAAAATTTGGATGGTGAAGCTTGTTCGAAGAAGTTCCATTTATATATATATATATATATATATATATATATATATATATATATATATATATATATATATATATATATATATTAGTTTATGCACTAGTTGAGAAAAAAATTATATAAATCCTTTTTTATAAGTATTTTAATTTACGAAGAATTTAAATTATTTATTTTTTCTAAAAATAGTTTTAGGGAAAGATATTCGTAAGTTAAATATTCGTTCGCTAATAAGACCTTAATTCGCTCTGTTGAGGTCGATGCCAGAGTCCAAATTTGCGTGAGCCCAGTTCGATTGAGACTCATCCCATTATAGCCCAAAACATTTTGATTTGGAAGACGAATAGAAGGAGAAGCAACCGTCAGTTTCTTTCTGTTTCACACTGCAAATATCTCACAGCAATCAATCTCCACGTTTCGTTGGCAAGTTCTTCTCCTTCCTCGCTAAACTCTAATTTGGCATTCGCATTCTTCTGTTCTTATGTGACCGCTGTCTTTCACCAGAATTTCCTGCAATCAGTTTCTGCTTCGCGTTCGATTTTCATTACTCATTTATTGACTTATTGATGATCAACGTTCATGTAAGTATTGAATTGGCGTTTATTGTTTGAAAGGGGGATCGAGAATGACCACCTCCTCGGCTGTGGAACAATTTGACAAATGCATGAAGAAGCAAATACAAGCAATTGCACGGGTTTTGCATTTATCTAAAACCTACAAAAAGGACAGCATTCCGTGCAAAATCAACGAGGCACAATTCTAACTTCATTGAGACTTTGATTGAGTGCATTCTGTTTGTGTTTAGGTTGTTATTCTGTTTTTGCTTTGCATTATGAATGCAGGGTCTGTATTTGGGTTCGATTGGTACTGCAATTAACAAGGCTGCTTTGAAAGACCATAATATTTCTCACATTTTGACTGTGGCTGGTCGAATACCACCTGCACATCCTGAGGATTTTGTCTATAAAATTATAGACGGTATGCTCATTTTCATAGAATCAACCTTTGCTTTGCGTTTCACATCGATCTATATATGTGTGTTACTGATGATCAATGAACGGGTTCTAGCATTGATGTAGGGTAGTTCTGATTGGGATTTTTTGCTATCGAAAGGGGTTTCATGGCTTTTAATTGAATTCGCAATTCACAATAAATGGGATAACTCTGTGCGCTTTAGGATGATAATTGTGTTTGCTTGCAATTCTGAACGTGCATGCTTTGGCCCTTAGCAGTTTGGCTGTCAAAAATTATAGGGTTCTGGATTCTAAGGGACAAAAATTTATTTCTTGTATCTTATAAATTGTGTTTTGTGGAACCAGAGTGCTTTATGATAGATGTTATCATCTCAGAACGTAAATTGTCTTTTAACCGACAGTTTTCTTTTATAATAAAGGAGACTGGATGACATATGTGAACCATGTTGCTTGCATTCAATCTTCATATGTTTTTTTATAAAATTTATATTTTACTCAAGACTGAATGAGCTGACGGCATGATGCTTATTGTCCTTGAGCATCTGGTATCGTGTCCATACTAAAAATATGGTTTTGTTGGAAAATTGAGGCAGTTAATGACAAAGACGATGAAGACTTAAAACAATACTTCAATGAGTGTTTTGATTTTATAGATGAAGCCAAAAGACTCGGTGGAGGTGTTTTGGTTCACTGTTTTGCTGGAAGATCAAGGAGGTAACTTGCATTCCTTTCTCCCTTGTTTACTTGTTTACAAGCGATCACCTCCTGTTCTTGATAATTTCATGCATTTTTTCTGGTTTAAGTTATCTGGATTATTGTTTCAGGAAAAGAATAACCAGAAGCAATATGTAATTCATGTTGGACACAACTTTTTCTCTTTAAGAGTGTAAAAGCCCAAGTACCATGATTCAATTGTAACTTTGTCCACTTGGCTTCCACGACGAACAATTGGTGCACTTCTTCCCCTCAGCAATTTGACCCGCTAGGAATTGATCTTGTCACCTTAACTCTTATATCGATTGTTGAATTAAGCAATTACTAGGTCAAAATCCATAATTAATAGTTAGGGCGCAACTTGATTTTCATTACACGACAGTTGATGCATTCAAAAACAGTTCATTATCGATTGGCATTTTGAATGCTGGCTCTTATACCAACACTAATAAATGGTGGCCCCCAATGCACAAGGCTCTTACCCTGTGAGGTCTTTTGAAGGGTGGGGGAGACTGTAGATGTACGCAGCCTTACATCCCATAAGTGAAGAAACTCTAGGATTTGAGCCTCAATCACCAAGGCAACAATCTTACTTTAGGGTTGTTCCGGGTTCACCGTTTTTCATATAGGTGGTAATAACATAGAAAAACGCATTCACAAGAGTCTAAGTAACAAGTTTTAATTGAAGAGTCTGGTAAACATCTGTTGAGCTTATACTTTTGTAGACACTAATGTTCATTTTGCTTGTAAAATATTTTTACATATCTTGTAATATGACAGTGTTTCTTGAAACCTATTATAACAACGTTTTTAATAAGTCTAGTTATCATGTGTGTTGATGTGTTGAACTTAAGTTTACGACTGTTGTGTTTTTGTATTGATCTTTCTAGTTTCATGTATTTAAAATTTTACAGAATAATAAAGGTGTCTGTGGCATGAGTTGAATTAAATAATTATTTTTCTGGCTTCAAGGTTGTTTACTGTCAAATCATTATTGCATGCTTCCATTTTGAATGCTTTTAAATTTTGAAGTAGTTAAGAAGCTAAGTTAAACCGTAACCCCTAAACCTCAAGTTTGTTAAAATACGTTAAATAGAGTTAAGGATGTAGCTTGAATTTGAATAGCGATGAATTATATCATGCCAGCAATTTTCTATTTGTTTAATGCTCATTTCTGAACTTAATAAAAGATCTTAGTATATATTTATTGTTCTTCTGGTTAGTAATTGATGATGAACTGGATAAAATTGCTCCTATTGATGTTACACCTTTCAGCGTGACCATAGTTGTGGCATATCTGATGAGGACTCGTGGAATGAGCCTTTTTGATGCTATGCAACATGTAAGGAGTATACGACCAGAAGCACGTCCCAATGAGGGTTTCATGTGTCAGCTGGAGGACTTCGAAAAGTCTCTTCAAGGTGCCTCTAAGTTACCTTAGTCTCTTATTTACAGTTGCATCCTAACATATTCATGAACTCATATCATAAAATATTCTACATAAAATGGTTACATTTACGTCTTAAATATATTTTGAACTTATACACATCTGAAACCATCAAAGATAAATTACAATTGTACATTTACAGATGAAAAGTCTTGTATGTAAGGCGGTGAAATTTGTAATGTGTGATAGCTTAAACTACAAGAGTTTACGTGTACACTGTTAATATAGTAGAATGTGCATGATAAAGAAAGTAAAGAGTTTTGTTTTTCAATTATTCACTATTGTTACCAATTCTCAAACATTTCGTATGTCACAACACAATCACATATACTTCAATTAACTATTAGCCGATTAGATGATACCTCATCTTTTGTGAAACTTTGATTTCACAGCATCGTCTTTCTTTTTATGGTTTTTCGGAATCTAAATATTATTACAGGACATTATGACGATGAAAAGTAGGTGGCTTTTGGAATAGAAACTTTTTTTTTCCAATTATTTTTTTTAGGGAATGGGATTATTAAGATTAATAATATATTCCTGAAGAAATTTTTGAAACATATTTAGTTATTATTCAACTTATTTAGGAATATGTTTAATGATAACTATTACGGAAAAGTTTAGTTATTTTACAATAAATTATTTCTGGGAAAGTTTATTTCACCATATTGACAAATTGATTTTTTTGTTTAACTTTAATATCCCAAAAATATAGTCCTTAGAAAAATTTTCATCACCGAAGGTATTAAAACATTTCTTTATATCAAACAAAGTGATAGCTACAATGACTTGGTTAATGAGTCTCTTTTAGAGAAATCTTAACAATTTTAAGAAAAAATAATAATTTTAAAAAGCAGTAAATAAAACGTAAAACATCTTAGAACACAATCATGATCTTAAATTGACTGGTCCCAAATTTATTCAATGACAATAAAATGTGATCAATAGTTTTTTTTGGCAAACCTACTTTTTGTCCTGGGCTCCCATTTGAAAGGTTCATGAACAATGAGAACCTTGTTTGTCTAACTAACTAACAAGTTGATGGTACATTGAGGCAATATGTGGATGGAACACCAAGCAATGAGCACCACCCATGAGATTGGAAATAGGCTTAGGCTTAGCCTTACCCAAAAATTCTCTGTTCCCAATCCATGCTGTGGATAAAAATTGGCCAAAGGTGCATTAATATTCCTAATTTTATTTCTTGTTGCTCCCCTCATTCTCAAACACATCTCTCTTCTTCCGCATGAGTAGCAGAAACAATGCTCAACTATTACAAAAACGCATTGCTCCATCTTTACTCAAGCCCTAATTTTTGTATTACCAAACTGTGCTCTAATCAATTTTCCACTCCACCTTACTATTGTGTTTAATTTGTCCCTAATGTATCTGGGTGTTGCATATTTCATATATTAGTGTGGGAAACTTCAAATGCAAAAATTAGAAAGCACAAGTTAAACACAACACGTTACAGGTTCTCATGGCTGCGACTAGATTTTTACTAGATTGTAATGAGGTGATTATATTTTGTGGTATAATAGTCAGAGGGAACATAAGAGATACATACGCATTCTATTCACCAATTTATCTATTGGATTATCTAAATTTTCTTATTATTTTAAGAGCTTTGAGTTAAATTTTAGAATAAAATGTGTTTTACGTATCTGAAGATTTAATCAAAATTATTTTTCTCCCTATATTTTTAAAATAGTGATTTGGTTTTGATCTTCGTCTTTTAAAATTGTTACGAAGTGCCCCACAATGGATACGAATATTCAATCGCTAGATTAATCTTACTATGTAATTCATTTTGCAACCTACTCAACCCCGACCACCATTTCAACTTGTTCGTTGTTTCTCCGTTGCCAACTTTCTTACATCAGCTTGAACGAGTTCTTGTTTGATGATACCTTCCTTCAAAAACAATTATGCTTCAATGAAATCGAACTCTTGTGTCCAACGTCTCCCATCTCACATATTTCCTGGTCACCTCTCCTTTGTTGTAAAATGTAAGAAATATCTGAGATTCAGGAGGAAATTTCCCTAACTCTTAATCAAACTCTTCCCACGCCAAGGTTGTTCTGTGTCTATTCACTTTTAAACAAAGGAAAAATCCTTTAAGGTGTTAGAAGAAATTTCTAAGAGAAGTTCATTAATGGGAAAGATTATGAGTCCATTTTTTGGGTTTAAAAAATAAACAACGGAATAATCCCATCAGATTTATCCCTAGACGAGGGAACCTTCCTCTATTACTCACATTGCACACAAAAACAAGCTCCAAAAAATTGATGTACATTATGAGTCAATGCTTTGAGAAGAAGTGACTGCTCATCATAGTGATTAAAACAAATAATTAAATATATCTTAAAAAATAACTGAATGAGTATATTAGATAAGAAAATTTAAAAGTAGTTTATTCTTTCAACTTTTTATCTTATCTGAACTTTTTATATTTTTTTCTCTAATTATAATATTGATTAATATTTAATTGATTTTTTAATTTTTTCTTTCAAAATTATTTTTCTTCTCTCTCTTACCTTTTTAGACTCCTTATAATTAGATTCATTTTTTACAAGATTGTATTTTTCTTTTTGTGCATTGGAAGCTTAGTTTGACAAGATAAATATACTTTTTTACCTCATCTTTTCACATTATTTATTATATTATTTAATGTTATTTTTTTATTTTTTTAGGGGAATATTTGTTTTTTGAGAAAATAATATTTTTGTTTTTTTTTTATAAATTTTTAAGATTTTATAATTAGAAAAATAATCTATTGAATTTTCATTCAAGGTTTAATTAGATTCTTAAATTTATTTTAGTTTTTTTTTTAAATATGAAGCATAAAATAATAGATTTATTTTTCAAAAGCGATAAAGGAGATACTTGTAGAGATGAAAATAAAATAAATTCAATATCTTATCCTATTTTAAAAATGATATTGATGATCCAATTATTCAAGAAGATTAATAGAATTACAACTAATGAATTTAATATTAATTTTTTTAGCGGTAACCCAAGAAAACGTATTCAACTATATGAATATTCTATGAATCAAAGAGATGAAATTATAAGAGTTTATTTAAAATGAGGTTCATATTAAATACAACTTAAAAACTAACATCTTTCTAAAGATAAATATCATAGGAGATTTTAATATGCTTGGTTTAAAATGTTTTTTTTTTTGCTAAAGTATTCCTTAATCAGTGATGGAATTTATTGTTTGTAGTGTTATCTATTCAATACAATATCAAATGGTCGTCGTGGGTTAGATGTGTTTATTAGACAATGATTTAGATTTTGGAAAAAAGGTTAATATAAGAAAAAAATGGTGTCTTAGTCACATTGGAGATAATCCTTATTCACCATGTAGCAATGTAATGAAAACATGTACAAATTTATTGAATTAATTTAAGTAGATTAATAACATTATAAATGTGCAAAATTTAGGAGAAATTTGCAATAATAGTTTACAACTCAAAACTTCTAGTAATATAATTTGTTGCTAGCATTTCAAACTTGTGTATTTAGAGGCCATGATGAGACACCGGAGTCAAGTAACATAGATAACTTACTTGAGATGATTAAACTTGTAGCATCATACAATGATAAAGTGACACAAGTTGTGTAAGATAATGCTCCCTATTATTCAAAATATATTTCTCATCATAATCAAAAGGAAATTTTGAAATTTTTTCTAAAAATATAAGAAACTATGTTCGTGAAGAAATTAGAGACTCAATTTCGTATAATTGTTGATGAAACTCATGATGAATCTAAAAAATATCAAATGACTATTGTTTTGAGATGAAATGAGTAATATTAAAAGAATGCGCATGTTAAGGATACAATTACTGCTCTTAAAACAGAATTATGTGTCTAGACATATTTCTAATATTCATAACGTGAGAGAGGAACAAAATGAATTGCAAAAATTATTTCATCATGATAATCTTTATGTTTATCATGTACATTGTTTTACTCATAAATGACAACTTGTTTTGGTTCTTCAAAATAAGTTCATCAATTTTTTTTTCATATTTGGCTTTTATCATTAATATTGTTTGTTCCTCTGGTAAACATTATGATGAGTTACAAAGTATTGAATTAGATAAAATAGTTTTATTGTTAGAACTTGGTGAGCTTGAAACTGGTAAAAGAAAAAAAAAATCAAATTGACACTTTAAAACAAGTTGGTGTGATAGATCAACTTAATTTCGAAAGGGTGATGCTTATAATATTTTGTTTTTATTTGAGTTTATATTGATTTTACACATGATGAAAGAAGTTATGAGAAATACTATTAAGCTTTACATAAACAATATTAGGATGTAATAATACTACGTAGTTTGTCTGTTTGACTAAAATTTTGATTGTAAGAGAGGATGACTAGCAAGATTTCTTGAAAGGTGTGATATTGTTTTGTGAGTAATATGATATTGATATTCCTAGTTTTAATTCTACTTATGTAGCACATCATGATCGTTCTTGGTATAAAAAATATTCTACCATCGTAGAACATCATTTTAGGGTGGACATACTTTTTTACATGTTTTAGTTCCAAAGGATGCATATAAAAATTTTAACATTAATTATATTTGCACCCTGAGAACAAATTTTATCCTTTGAATTTTAATGAAAATGAGAAGATTAATTTTAAATTTCAACTTCAACATCTTGTAGTTAATGCTCCTAACCATTTAAAATTGAAGAATTTATCTATCATGCTCTTCAATCATGTCAATCTTTGACAAGATCAGGAAAATTAGGTATATTTTACTTGTTTAATCACTTGATTCGTCTTAGTTGTGAAATGTGACGAATCAAGCAATTAATCAAGTAAGGTTACAGATTGACATAATAAATTCTTCAAATTTGGATGGTTAGAAGCATCAACTATAAAATAATAAAGTTTAAATTTTAAACTAATTTTATCTTATTCACTAAAATTGAAAGCATAAAAGTTAAAAGTTCCATTATTTGCTCAATAAATC